TAGAAGCCATCCTAATCTACAATTTAGTCTGCTGTAATGAAATGCGTTAGATACAAGAGTAAGCACAAGGGTAACGGTGCCTTAAGTGTATTCCTTGGGAAGGTTTCATGGGTGTCCCTCAGAACTGCTAAGGCCCGCTTTGTCATTCTTCCCAAGCCCTGTCCTTTCTCTCATCTGATGAGCTTAGCTGTCTCACTCCCAGCCACAAACCCTCTTATTGATGGCTGCCCTACTGAGCCACTCTGTTGGAATTCTGCTAGCTTCCCCAAGCCTGACAAGCAATGTGGGGGAAGCAAATAAATTCTCTGTGTGTTTACCATTTTTGTTTTGTAAGCACACAGCCATCATCAGACATGCTAGATCTGGGCAGCCAGCTTTTCTGGGGGGGGGGGGAGGGACGAGACTCTGACTTGTAACATTTGCCAATTGCCATGGTGTAAATACTGCAGCTGTGATTGAGTTCATAGCCAACTCCAAGCTATGTGTCCAAGCATCCCCCTCCCACCAAACCCCCATTCCCAGCTGTCTGCTCAGAGTGCCCAAGCTAAACCTCTACAAGAACTCGGTCAGTCTTTACGGCTTGACTTTGATCACTAAAATAACACCCCACAGAAGAGGACCTTCACTGTACCACCCTTTCTTCTTCCTCTACACCACCCCAAGAGGAGTGGGACTCCAGCTCTGGCAAGGGCAGTGCAGCCATCAGAGAAGCACGCATCCCCCACCTAATGGCAAACTGCTTTTGGAAGCAGCCAGTGATAGTACTGAGCTTGCCCTCGATCTGCCACTCAGGGGTACTTCAATTTGGATGTCCCGTCTCCAACTGTGACTGTCACTGCAATCTATTTGCCATGACTTAAGAAAATGTCACTTCATTCCCAAACCCAGGTGGGCCAGAAATACTGTTTCTCCTTCTCCTACTCAATCCATCTTCTGTGTTGTTCTGGTTCAGGGTGACTGACTTGGCTGGGGACTTCCCACTCCTTCCAGAAAACTCCCAGGAGAGTCTAGCAAACACACAGCTGTAGCCTCCAAAGAACCCTGGGAACTGGAGCCTGCCAGATTTGGGGTTTTACTTGCTTTTTTTTTTTCTTCTTCTTCCTAAAAATAAATTGTTAATAAAGCAAAAGTTGGCTAGAGACCTGATCAACAATTTGCCCTTTCCCTTGATTTTTTTATAGAATGTTGTATCTAGAAAAAAATTAATGTTGGTTATTTTCAGGAATTATAAAACTAGTACATGCTGACCATTGGTTGGGGGGGGGGGGAGGAGTGATTTACAAGCCTGCAGCTGAGCTTCAGCACCCTCACCAGCCTGGGTTCCCTCCCTCCACCCCAAGTTCAAGGTCAACCAGGGGCAGGGGCTTGCTCGTGTGGGTAAGATGGGGCAGCCATCATTTTTTTCTGCTCCTGGAACCAATATCTTAAATAACCAGGGTGCTTCGTTGTCTTGTCTCCTCAGCTGCATACTCTACTCAGAGTGTCATGTCAGGGTGGCAGTGACTGGGGCTGTTGCACTGGTAACGCTTGTTCTCCAACAGGGCAGCAAACTCCCAGTGACTGCGAGCTTGTCTGCCCTTGCATGAGACAGTGCTTCATTTGCACCAACATTTTGTTTGCTTTTTGAAAGGAGATGCTTAACAATCTGGATCTCTAACTTCCTGGAAAACGCTTCTCGGGACAAAGAAAACCCCTTTATTTTGCACATGGCAAAATATTTCCAAAATATAGAACCATATCTAGCTCTCAACAAATGTTTGATGAATGAATGATGTCAGTTCTAAACAGCAGTGAGCTGAAGGTGAAAGCAGATGTTCCGTTTTACCTGGAGAGCATCCTCTCTCATTTGACAAAACTCCCCATCGCTGCTTGCTGCCTTCGGCCTGCATTCTATGCTGGGTGATGCCACCTGCCCAGCTTGAGAGTGCTTGCTCCGCTTCAGGCACATGGACCAGAGTGCCCTCTCTCTGTGGTTTACAGTTTCCAAGTCTCCTGCCCAGAGACCCTGAGAACTCAAATAAGAAGTCCATCCAAGAGTTGGTTAACTATTTGAGGGTCAAAGCAAGACTCTGAAACATTAATTAAGTTGTCTAATTTAAGAAAAATATTAGACCAGGCATGGTGGTACATGCCTATAATATCACAGTCTCAGCACTGCAGGGGCTGAAGCAGGAGAACTTCAAATTCAGGGTCAGCCCCGATATGACAGGTAGGTAGGTAGGTAGGTAGGTAGGTAGGTAGGTAGATAGATAGATAGATAGATAGATAGATAGATAGATAGATAGGGAAGAGAAAGGAATTTATGGCATGTTTTGCTTTATTTTGTTTTATTCCTTTTTTAAAGACAGGATCTCAATATGTAGCCCTAATTGCCTTGTAACTCACTGCATAGACCAGAGTGGCCCTGAACTCACTGAGTTCTGCCTGCTTCTTCCTCCTGGGTGCTGGGATTATAGAATATATTTTAAAACTAGATTTAAAAAAAAAAAAAAAAACATGTGCATGAATTACTAGCATGTGGCATCATTTTCTACTACTTTGTGTAAACTACCTTCAACTTAAGAGACCTAAGCAGTCCCCTCCTTGTTCTGAAGGTCAGAAGCCTAGGAGGTCATGACTTGCTCTCTCACAAGATTACAAGATTAAAATGACGGTGTCCACTATCTGGAGCTAGGGGTCCGCTTTGGGGCACCTTCCTAATGCTGGTAGACTGGGTTCCCTGCCTGGCCATGAAGCAGTCTCAGCACTATGTGATGGCTTGGTGGTCCTTGCCCTTGACCCACTCCATCTCCAGAGTCGACCACAGTGGTTCCGCTCTTCGTCATGCTCTGTTGTCTTCCTGCCTTTTTTCCATGCTACCAGCATGTCTACTACCAGCCCGTGAAGACCTCTGCTTTAAAAAGGAAGGAAGGAAGGAAGGAAGGAAGGAAGGAAGGAAGGAAGGAAGGAAGGAAGGGGAAGGGAAGGGAAGGGAAGGGAAGGGAAGGGAAGGGAAGGGAAGAGAAGGGAAGGGAAGGGAAGGGAAGGGAAGGGAAGGGAAGGAAAGGAAAGGAAAGGAAAGGAAAGGAAAGGAGATTTTCAGAATGTTTTCTGCCATTGGTTACAGTAATAGAAAGGACATGTCCATAATGAGGGTAGTGACTGACCTCCATTCTCCGGTTATCTGGGCAATCTAGAGCTGGGTTCTCAATTTCATCCTAGATGTCAGAAACAGGAGAGAATGTGTAAACATAACTGCCCCAGTCTATTTAAACCACTGTAACAAAACACCACAGACTGGGTGGCTCGTAAATAAGAGAAATTTACTTCCCACAGTTCTGAAGCCTGGAACTTCCAAGATTAGCATCCTAATCCATGTGACCTCGAATAAGCTTCTCTTCCTGGCCCATAGGCAATTAGTGTCTTGCTACCATTTTGCACTTCAAAGGAGGCAAGGCTGTGTCTCTGGGGTATCTTCATGGGGCACTGATCTGACTGGGGGTGAGGGGCTCTGCTTTCTAGACCCAAACATCTCCACAGGCTCTACTTCAAGAAAAGATGAGGTCCCTGGGAGCTTGAGGAAGAAAGAACAGAAAAATCCTAAGAGCCAGAGGACCATAAGGACTGATGTGAGACAGCGTTTTCTGGACAGGACAAGGATGCCACGACCTGAACTCTCAACAGTACAGTTACCTGAAGAAGACCCACACAAGATCATACCAATCATCTTGGCACCGTGGATGAGGGAAGGGCTCTCAAGGCCATTCCCCTACAGCAGTTGATGGCTTCTGAGGAAGGGAGAGCCAGTTTTATTCAGGGACAAGCCTCCAGGTGATAGGTTACCTATACCCACACAGTCCCATAGCAAAGTACATATGAACAAACTAATTGTACTCAGTAGGGTGTGTGTGTGTGTGTGTTATAGAGGATGATGACATGAATTTGAAAGTGGGATGTTAGGGGATACTGGAGGAGTTGGAGTGGGGAAGTAGACTGGATGTGATGAAAATACGTTGTACTCATGTATACAAATCTTTTTAAAATTTAAAGTATTTTTTAAAGCTCTCTTACCTGATCAAAAGTAGCTCACTGCCTACAAATCAAACAAACTTTTGTGTGTTTGGAGGGTTTGTTTTTAGTTAGTTTTTTTTTTTAATTAAAAACAATCTTATTTTGCATCCCAATCCCAGTTCCCTCTCCCTCCCATCCTCCCATTCCAGTGAGGAAATGTCCTCAGTGCACACTTTCTAAACTAACAGAACGCATTAGCTGATCAGTCTCCCTGAGCGTAGGTGTTCACCACAGGTGGGTAGAGGTGGAGAGGGAAAGTGCACATTGTCACGTGTCAACTATCTCAATTCATTGGTAAGTAGGAGCATTAGCCCCCAGTGGATTGGAGTCTGAAGGCAGGTTTTTCTATATTTCCCTAATTACTTTCTAGGCATACCACTTGCCTCCCAAGTGGGACTCTCTGAAACTATAAATGCCTTGTAATTTTCTGCTTTTATCCTTGCAGAAACATCTACTGAAAGATCAGTCAGTGAAGAGTTATTCATCCTTTTCCTAGATGTCAGGACCCACATCCTCCATCCCTTTTATCCTCACCACCTCTGCCCTGCTCCTTAGGATATAAAATATTGCAAGATATGAGCAATAGACCTTTAGGTGGCAAAGTGCCAGAGTATAGGGCATGCCTACTTCTACCCCTAGCCAACTGCCTTTTCTTTCACTGTAAGGATCCCTTACAGTTGGTAATTCAGTATTTGTGTTTATTTGTAACTGTGTAACTTGATTTTTTTCTGACTAAGACTGGAAGCTCTCTGAAGGCAAGGAGGGAGCAGAGTCTATTTTGTTTCCTGGTGTACCCTAAAATCAGTGTAAGTCCTGGCCAGTAATAGATGATCAGTATGCTCGTTGAATGAGTGAAAGCATAAATGGGTGTCCAGACAAAGTACTTCCTTGGGTCTTTGCATTCTTTTTCTACCAGTTTAACAACCAAAGCATCCTTCTCGCTCTTCCAGACGGCACAAGATATACAAAGAACAATTCAACCTCACCTCCTGGGATCCCCCACTGCACCTCCGACCAGACGCCAGCTGGATCCAGTTCCACTTGGGGATCAACAGCCATGGGCTATACTCTAGGTCCAGCCCTGTTGTCAGCAAGCTCCTCCATGACATGAGACACTTCCCCACTATCAGCGCTGGTGAGGTTCATGGGGTTAGCCAGGAGTGATTGACCTTCTCCCAGAGAGCAAGTTGAGCCATCTCAGGCCAGGCTCCAGGAACTAGATATGATCATTCAAGGTTCATAAGAAGCAAACTGCATTCCCGTTGAAAGAGATCTTATAGCATTAATCTCATCACAGAGAGACACCGAAGACATAACAGAGACCTAGATGTTCTGCACTCTTCACGGAAGGTGATGTCATTGCTTTCTGAGTGCATCCTTTGTACAAAGTGGTACCTTCTTTCTTATAGCCTCCTTACGAAAAACATTATCACCATCAATTACAAATGGGGTGCAGCATGCTGGACAAAGCCAGAGCTGGAGCTAGGATTCAAACACAGGCCTACTAACCCCAAGTTTGTACTTTCAACCTATGACAGGACATGTGACATGGAAAGTTATTGGCAGAGACAAACTAGACTGAGAATGGCTGGGGAAGGGCTAGAAAGCATGGAGTCTAGGAAGGAGCAGGAAGACACTGTAGACATGGGCTCTGGGGTGCTCATGGCTAAGATTTCCAAGCTGCAAGAGTCCCTCCTCCAGTGGGGCGGGGTCAGAGCTGGGAGCCTGTCTTTGTTGGGAACACTGCAGGAAGTGCTCACTGCTCTTCTCCTTCACAGATTACAGCCAGGATGAAAAGGCCTTGCTGGGGGCCTGTGACTGCTCACAGAGTAAGTGACCTGACCCAGTGTAATGTGAGATTCTTGGCCCAGCAGGTTCTACCGTCCTTGAGCCCCAAAATAAACACACAGAGACATATATTAACTGTGAAACTGTTGGCCTGTGGCTAGGGCTTCTTATTGGCTAGCTCTGTCTTAATTATTAACCCATTTCAATCAAAGTACTTCCGCATGGTCTTGGCTTACCTGAGAGTGTCCTGCATGACCTCTCTTCCTGGGCTCCACATGATGACTGCTGTCTGCCTACGCTTCCCAGAATTCTCCTCCTCTGGTAGCCCTGCCTATCCTTCTACCTGGCCACTAGTCACACAGTGTTTCATTCATCAACCAATAAGAGAAATATATATACAGAAGGACAACCCCATCAACCCAGCCTCTGTCTAGCCTCCAACAGAGGCTCTCCCTGCCCAGTATCTGAGAACTCAATGCTTCCCCAGGCCTCCCACAATAAAAGGCATCTTAGGAACTCTGGAGAGCATCAACTGGTCAAAATGTGGTACAGGGCAAAACATCAGCGTCATCAGGGAGCTTGTTAGGAACACAGAATCCACATCTCTGCTCTGATTTTCCTAATCGGAATCTGAATGTTGACAGAATCTCTGGTGATTGGAGTAGGGTTTCAGATCCCAGAGGCAACTGTACAGGACAATAGTTCCTGATGCTGCATCTTACCTCTGAGAGCTCTAAGGAAGGCAATTGCCTGGCTCTGCCTCCAGACATCTGAGCTCAACTGTAGAGAGAGAGGCCAATGGCAATATTTTTTTTAATATCCCTGGTGATTCTCATGCAACCAAGGTTGAAACTTACCAGGGTAATTGTCAGACAGAATGGGAAAGCTGGGAGAAATGGGCATCAGGGATCCCCGGCCGGGTAATGCAAACCTGTTTCAAGAAGGTTTGAACAGTGAAGCCTGCAAGTTTCCCCCAGCCCTGAATGGCCTCAATTATTTACCTAGATGTGCTGAATATGCATCTCTACATGTGCAAGAGATGACACATGCCTGTAATCCCAAAACTTGAGAAGCTTAAGCAAGAGGATCATGTGTCCAAGACCAAACTGGGCTACATGAAAAGTTCAAGGCCAACCTGAGCTATGATGCAAGCTCCTATCTGGAAGGGGAGAGGAGGGGAGGGGGAAGGATGAGGGGGAGGAGAGGAGAGGAGATGAAGAAAGAGGGGTACAGAAGAGAGATGAAAAGACGAAAGAATGGGGAGAAGGAGGGAGGAGAGGCGAGGGAAGGGAAGAGATGACAGGGTAACAAGAAACTAAGTGTCATGATCAACCTTCAGGTTCACAGATGTTCAGGTCCATACATGACACTCTCAAAAATACTGTTTTAAACCAGGAAGCAAAAGCTCCTGGGTCTGATCCTAGCACCACAAAACAAAATAGGATAAAAACAAACCCTCGACCCAGCACCGGCATAGAATCTTAAAGGAAGCCATTGTAGACACAGGCGTCTGTTTCAACAGACAATATAGTAGGAAATCTTAAGATCACGACGGAAACCTTTTAAGAAAACGGTCTATGGGGAGTGTTCAGTAGTGTCTATTTGTTCCCCCCAAACATCTGACCGCTTCCCAAACTGACAGAATAAGTGCGCTGAGCATTCTGAACTCAGCCGGCTATGATGGGGTTTGCCCCTCAGGCTTTGCAAATCATGTCATCTTTGGGGTCTTCTTAAGCAGCTGAGAAAGACCAGGTTATGAGCGGTGTCACTGCCTTGGGCGTAAACATCACCCTTCTACCCCTCACAGTTGTGAAACCCAGTGGGGTCCACCTGAAGCTAGTTCTGAGGTTCTCAGACTTCGGGAAAGCCATGTTCAAACCCATGAGGTAAGTGAAGCCTTCCTCACCACCATGCCCCCCTCTCCCCCCCCCCCCGTGTCAACCCTGCGGGAGCTTTGACCAAAAGGTAGTAAAGGTAACCTACACTCCTCATCCCCATCTGCCCCGCACATAGAACTATTTTGGTGACAATAATACAAAACAACAAATAATACAAAAACAATAATAGCTACTCTGACTGTTGACTTAGCCCCTCAATAGCATGGGTGCTGCACACACTACATGAATTGTGGTTTTGGACATCAACAGTCTCATGAACCTCATGACCCAAGTGTAACAATGATGTCCACACTGAAGTGAATACACCAAACCTGTGAGAAGCCGGATTGCCCCAGACTCCACATCACAAACAGTGGGCCCAAGAATTGCACCCAAGCAGCTGGACTGCTGACTCACTCCTGATGTAATGAACCCTCACTCTCCTCCAAGACCAATCACTCTCTTTTTTGACCTCAGAATGTTTACTTCTCATGACAATACTTGCTTTGATTGAAAACCTGCACAATGAGAAAGGCTGCTACAATATCCTGTACACATACACATCAATTTATATTTTATTCATAGCAACAGCTTCCATGTCTTTGGACTTTATAGTATATGTCCATGAGTGAAATGATGGCAGAGTTTGGTATGTGCATGCATTCATGTGTGTGTGCATGTGTGAGCACGTGTGTCTGTGTGTGTACTATCAGCTCCCAGTGGGTCTGTGGGCCACAGGTTTGGGTTTCCCAGAGTAGAGTGCAGTGCCTTGGCCCAGTAGAATGTTCTCTCACGGATGACATGCATAGGAAAGAATGTCCCCATAAATGGTTCTGTTGCTCAAGTCACATGTTCCTCCAGAGTTTTCTGTTGTTTATTTGTGTTAACTCAGATGCACATTTTGCAGCAGACTGAGGAGAAGCCCACTGAATAGCCCAGTCCTGGCTGTGGTGGGGGGACCTCGAGGTCTGAGCATGGAATGCATCTCAGTCTTCTGAAATAGGGAATAAAAGCACCTCTTTAAGTACAGGTTGGAGTCAATGAGCTGCATGTCGGAGTCCCTTTGGAACTTTGAACAGCTGCCATGTTTTAGTCCCACTCTGTCAGAGTCTAATGGGCTTGCTCTAGTCCCACCCCCAAGACCCCAAGGTCCAAGCAACCTTGAGAACCATTTACATAGTTTCCTCCATCAGATATACAATAACCAAGTTGTTTACTCAATTTAAATATACAACCATTCAGTGATATGAAACGTTTGACTATCATATTCCATATTTACTGATTTTTTTTTAAATCCCACCATATAAAACTACACCTGAAATATAAAGTGCCACCCCATACACACTCACATTTCACTTGCCAAAAGTACTTGCATTGGTCTCTATCATCCCATGAGTCAGACTGAGTGTCAGTGCTAAGCCAATAGTGAGTTCTTTCCCTCCTTTCCTGTCACCACTGCTGTATTGATTGATGCTGGCCTCGATTCCATCAGGTCACATGGCCAGCACAGATGAGGACTTTCCCACTGTGGTAGTTTGCATAGCTGTGACCAAAGACCGAAGCAACTTAACAGAGGGAAAGTTTGTCTTGGCTCACAGTTTCAAAGGGCTCAGTCCATTGTGGCAGGGAGGGCATGTTGGAGCAAAGCAGTTCTTACCAGAGTGTCCAGTGGGCAGAGAAAGGGGCTCAGAGGATGAGACCAAAGCAAGGTGGGCCCAATGAGTTATTGCCTCCCCAAGATGCCATCATATTATGATCTACTTGTCTCTACAAAGGCCATCACACACACACACACACACACACACACACACACACACACACACACACACACGCTTTGCTGACTTCTTAGGCTTTTCTCAATCTAATTCAGGAGCCAGTGAAGCTTATAACTATCCTACAAGCTAATGAAGCTGCCTCAGTCAGATAAGTAAACTGTGCAAGACATTGAATGTAAAAACCGTCCTTTTCCTAAAGACAGTTTCAGGAGGGGAATCTCATCTCATAGCCAAACATGTATGCAGAGCACTTAAGTCAACAACTTTGTGTGTGTGTGTATGTGTCTGTCTTTGTGTGTGTGTGGTTGCAGATGCTTCCATGTGTGTGGAGGCCAGAGGACAGCCTTAGGCATTATTCCTCAAGTCCTACTTGTTTGCTGGTGTTTTGTTAATTTGCTCTTTGAGAAAGAGCCTCTCACTGGCTTAGAACTCACCAAGCTCACAGGTGAGTCTCTACATCCCCAGCGCTGATGAAACCAGGCTTTTGATTTTAATATGGGTTCTGGGTTCTTATTGAACACCAGTCCTCTTGCTTACAGATTGAGCTATTTCCTGGGGCCCTGTATCTTCATATCTTATTTCTAAGAAATGGAGTTTTTTTCATGGTTGGCCTCAAGCTCCTGGGTTCAAGTGACCTTCCTGTCTTGGCCTCCCAAATGGTTGTGCTCTTAAATCAGAGCTACAGCAATGAGCATCCAGTTATGGGCAGAGACCGCACCAGGCATGTGACTCTTTAACATGAAGGTGTGCTTTTACAATTATTTATTTATTTGATTGTTTGTTTATTTGGGGCTGGGTGCAAATCCCACTATGCACAGGTAGCTGCAGAAATGTTGCTATGCCCAAAGGCCATCTGAAGGCCATTGCTATCTACTGCATTCCACTATTATCAGTAATGCACACCTAAAGCCTGCCAGCTTACCTCTGATTGGTTCCTTACCACCACATGGAGGGTGTCTGGTAGTTTCTTCCCAGTAATTAGGGCAAGGTCGGGCACAGTGTGTGTGGAGGGGGAGGACTCAGCATATCCTATTGACTTAGGGGTCTATCTATAGCTTGCTGGGTCTTTTCTGCAGCCTGTCATGGCTACCAAAACAGGGGACTGGCTGAGGGTCTGGGCCCTTCATTCATATCCCACATGAAAATTCTGAGAGATGATATGTTTTTATGGGAGCATGGGGACAGTCATGCAGCATCCAGCAATGCCCTTCATCCTGGATGCAAGGGCTATGCTACACCTGGCTGCATCTCTACACTCTACTCCTGGCAGCCTCACTGTGGGTTCAAGTCTGGTGTGTGCACATCAGGCAGTGCACCTGACTGTTTGGCTTATGGGACCTGGTTATTTTGCATGGTTCTTTGTGGCTCTACTTCTGTTTACACTTACCTTTGTTTGTCCAGTCTTCAGAACAGGTTCACATTCTGTACTATGAAAGTATTCAAAGATCATCGTTGGAGATAAGCCCAGGATCCCAGAGCACTTTCTAATATTTGCACCGCACCTCCCAGCACCCTCTTCAGGGAGGTGCTCTCCAGGAATCCATTACAAATTGGAAAATGGGGCCAGATCAATTTTATCTATGTAGGCCTCCCTCAGCTCTCTGGCTGGGTCCATTCTCAAGCCCAACCTGAGCTTCTATGAGTTCTGTATTTCTCCCTTAGACTCATACCTTTCCAGTCCTTGCTCACAATCATACTAAGTTCCTTCTCTAGAACTTTCTATTGCCAGGTTCTCACCTTTTCTCATACCTGGGCATCCAGGTCCCCACTAGGATCACTTCTAATAACCCGTTCTCTCTGGCTAACACCTGCACAAGAATGGTTGGTTTCCTTTCTTTGGTTTTTGTTGTTTTTGTTTTGGTTTTGGTTTTGTGTGTGTGTGTGTGTGTGCGCGCGCGCGTGCGTGCGTGCAAATCAGCTACCGTTCCCAAAGCTTCTTTTTTTTCTTTTTTCTTATTTTACATATTAATCCCAGTTCCCTCTCCCTCCCATGCTCCCCCCTACCCCTTCCATCCCACCTACCCCAAACCCACTCCACAGGGAGGGTGATGCCTTCCAGGAGGGATCAACAAAACCTGTCAAGCCCTTAATCAGGAAACTGGTCAATGATGGTGCTTATTAAAAAGCCTGCCTGTTCCTACTTTGCATGTCTCCTCCCCGCTCAGGGAGAGGCCCAGTCCTAATGTGTGTGTCTACCATCTACATCCATGTGAGAAGCACCTGACTTTCTTCGGCTCACCACAGAAGGCTCAGTCCAGGGCTTGATTCTTTCCTTCCTTCCAGACAGCAGCGAGAGGAGGAGACGCCCGAGAACTTCTTCTATTTCATAGACTTTCAGAGACACAACGCTGAGATCGCGGCCTTCCACCTGGACAGGTAGGTCTGGCCTCTGGAGATGACACAGGCTGCAAAGGCCAATGCCCCCAGGGAGGTGCTACGCAGACCTTCGGGAAGAACTGGGCAGTGCTTGCTCCTTCTGGCGTTCCTCTCTTCCACCTCAACTGCAGTGTCTTCAGATCTACTTTCTCCTCCCATCTCCATTAGATTAAAAACACAAGGCCTTTTAATGTAGTGGACAACTTATATATAGTCTTATTTTATCTTTACATCCTTACTTTTTGTTTGTTTCTTTTGCTGAGATGGACTGCTATGTAGCCCAGCCTGGCCTCTCATTCACCCCATAGCTGAAGCTAGATTTGAACTCCTGATCCTCCAGTCTCTGCTTCCCAAATGCTGGGCTTACGGGCATACACCCCTATGCCTGGAAAAGTGAAACAACTTAGAAAACGGTCACGTTGCTGTGGTAGATATGATGGCCTTTTGTTCTACTTCCTGGAGATGAGAAATGCAATCTTATTTGCCACGAAATCAGAGCCTGTATTTGGATCAGATCCTCAAGTAACTAGCGGGTGCATTCAAGTCTGAAAACTATTGACCAGGACACAGCATGGGCGGTGGGAGCATTCATCTAGATCAATGGAGGAAGGATCCTTCCTGCACAACTTCCAGGATGGGATTTGCCCTGGTCTTGATTGGGTCCTCACAGAAGAAACATCCTTAGCAGCTACACCACCGCTGTATTCAGACACACAAGCCAGGTTCTAACATGCGTTGGCGTAGACGCAGGGCTTTTCCGCAGTCCCTGGCTATCCCTTAGCTCTGAACAAGGCTCCTTCTCTTTCAGGGTTCTAGACTTCCGACGGGTGCCGCCAACAGTGGGAAGGCTAGTGAATGTCACCAAGGAAATCCTAGCGGTCACCAAGAATGAAATCCTGCAGAGTGTTTTCTTTGTCTCTCCAGGTGCAGTATTAGCCAGAGCCACATTCTGGGTGTTAAGTTATGGCAAGGCTCTGTGTCCGCTGTTCAACAGTGGTCTGAGCGCTGCCATTAACACATGCATTATTGGGGTAAGAGGGTGCTGCCATCCAGCACTCCTACCCATGTCTGCTTAAACATAACACCAGAAAAACTACAACAGCAAAAAAGGTGTATGAGATGCTGACACATCCCCACAACGCTGGACTCCCAGGAGCCAGAGATTATCCATGCAGCCTATCAAAGAATGTTTGTCACATGATAGGATGCTCTGAGATATCTGTAACTTGGTACCCAAAATGTTCTATTTAGTTGCATCTTCTAGGCCCAACACCCTTTTCCCAAGCTGGAGTTCCAAATCCCCATCCTGCTCCTCAGGGGTTTCTTAGGGCAGAAGATGACGTAGTTAAAGCCACTTTATTTCTCTTTCCACTTCCAGCTAACAACGTGTGCTTCTTCGCCAAGTGTCCCTACATGTGCAAGACTGAGTACGCTGTCTGTGGCAACCCACACATGCTGGAGGGCTCCCTCTCCGCCTTCCTGCCGTCCCTCAACCTGGCCCCCAGACTGTCTGTGCCTAACCCCTGGATACGTTCCTACTCACTGTCAGGAAAAGAGGAGTGAGTTGTCTTCCTGACCACATCCCCATGCCAAGGGTCCTGGAGTCCTGCTCTTCAGAGTGGCCACAACTAAACCCCAACAGCTATCTTGATCCTCTTTCCGATCATAGGACCAACAACCAACTCCCTGTAGTTCATATATTGGATTGTAAAGTGTTTAGCCTATAGCAAAGAGCCACATGGAGAGATTGGGAGATGCTCAGTGGCTAGTGCATGCCATGTAAGCGTGAAGCCCAGAGTTCAGATGCCCCAACCCCACTTAAAGCCAGGCAGGTGTGCCAGCCACCTGTCATCTGAGCATTCGAGAGACAGAGACACTGGATCCCCACCACAAAGTGGCTAGATAGACTAATGAGAATTGACAAGTTCTGGGTTCAACAAAATGGCTAGATAGACTAGTGAGAATTGGCAAGTCCAAGGTTCAATAAAGAAATTGCTTCACTAAATAGCGAGGAGGGATGGAAGAAGACATTGGACAGCAACTTCAGGCCCGCATACATGTGAACATACATACATGTGAACATACATACATGAACATGTATGCATATACACATGCATACCACATATATCTCAATAAAGAAGCACATAAAAGCTGGAGGAGTGAAACCCGGAGTAAGATCCACTGACTGTATGCGCAGGGCCTAGCATATCTAGCACAGTAGACACACCGCATGAGTGGGCTCAGTGAACGGATCGATCCGCAAATCACCAGTTCTGCTGGGAAGTTGACAAAAGAGTTTCCAGCAGACATAACTGTGTGAGACTGTGTGAGGGCAGGTCATGTGTAGCGGAGGCCAGTCTGTGGGTCATGGATGGGTGGTATAGGAGCTCTGAAGGACCAAGACCATCCAGGGGTGGGTGCCTGCCTTCCCACCACCTGTTCTGTGACTCCCTCTGGCATGTGGAACCCCAGCCTTCCACTGAGCATTCAGCAAAGCCAGAGGACTGTAAACCTTCCCACCACCTGGAATCTGCAGCCTCCCTTCCCAGATGCTCTTGTCCAGGTGTCTCCCGAAGAGAGCCAGCTGCTACCTGGCATCCCGATATCACTAGCCCAGGGCAGGCTTGGGGAAGCAGAGATTTGGGAGCAGGGCGTGGTTTGAAGAGGGGCCCCCAACACCCTGGCATTTGGCTTTTCCAGCCCTAGGACTTCTTCTCCCCCTCAGGTGGGAGCTCAACCCCCTCTACTGTGACACGGTAAAGCAGATCTACCCGTACAACAGCAGCAGCAGGCTCCTCGGCGTCATTGACATGGCCATCTTCGACTTCCTGATCGGTGGGTACCCCACGCGGGGCACCTGGTACACCTGCACTCTTCTCTTTGCCAAGGATTCTGGGAGACCTTAGCCAAATCGCAGCCTGGGTCAACAGAGGTGAAATAGCCATGCATCCCACATACTCGGGGCAGTAGTCCAAGGTGACACACACCCTGCTTTCTGGGAAGGGAATGGGGTGGCACATGTGGGGGATGGGGGTGTGAAGGGGTTGCCACTGGTGAGGCAGATGCGCCGCCCTGCCACAGGCCCACAAATGGCCACCAGATCTGAAGCTGGAAGGTCCCTTCACTCAGCAAGAGGAAGCCTGCATGAAGGTGAGAAATAAGCATGTAGCAGAGAGAGGTCCAAAGCGAGCGGCCTCGGCTCCACAAAATAGGAATTGGACCGTCTAATCCCACTATGACCAGCAAGGATGCCGCATGTTTGAGGCTGTCTGGGCTGAGAAAGCCCAACATTGATAACTACAAGGGGCACAAGGGCACAGTTGTGCTCACTAGGCTGCCAGGCCGGGGCTGAGGGAGGGATAGAGTAAAATGCCTAGAAATTCAGGTTGTGCTCCATGCTCAGGCTCCTGTGTCCCATCCCCAGAAGGCAGGTCGGGGTCTTGCATACCCGTGGCCTTGAGCTACTTGCTCTGATCTCTCCCTTCCGTTGCAGGTAACATGGACCGCCACCATTATGAGATGTTCACCAAGTTTGGGGATGACGGGTACCTTATTCATCTTGATAATGCCAGAGGGTAAGCACCAGTGTCCACGCTCTCCCTGTCACCAGCCAGGCTTCCTGTAGCTGCTTAGACACGGAGGAGGGCCTGCCCTGCCTGGACCTGTCTCCATCCTGCCCTATTTCCCACAAACCTTTTTCTTCTGCTCTTTGCTAAGTATCACTGATGCTCCAGTGTAAGAGTGCTCTTGTGCCCACCAGTGAACCGGGCTGAGATTTCCCGTATCTGTCCACTTGTTACTTTCCTAGAGCAGAGAGCATGGCTTAGCTTCAGTGGCTTGCCTGCAGAAGCAGGAGGATCTTGGTTGTAATTTAAGAGGTTTCTGTAATTTAAGAGGTGGGTGCTGTTGAGACAGCAGCCATGATGTCTGGCACCTTATCCCAACTAATTCAAAGGGTTAGGGAAGAGAGCATCCTGAGTGTCAGACTCAGGTTGCTGAGGCTCATTTCTTCTCCTAGGTTCGGACGACATTCGCAGGATGAAGTCTCCATCCTCGCCCCTCTCTCACAGTGTTGCATGTAAGTCTTCATGCTGGGAAGTGCAAGGGCAGGTGGTAGGTACTTCAGTCATTTCATTCTGCTTGCAACCTAACTATGAAAGCCTTAATCAGTTTTCCCTGATCACAGACATTAGAGCAAAATGATGCGGAATGCCTTGTTTCCCTTAGTGCAGCTGTCAGCTTTCCCCAGCGATGTCTCCTTCAGCAGAAAACGAATTAAGATCTGATCTTTTTAAGTTGCCAACTTTAATCTTCAGCCCACTTAGATAATCAGCCACTTTTGCAGATATCGATGATTTTTTATATTAATCGGCCCCATCACTTTTCCTGGTCCTTGTATAAACTCTTAAATAATTGCTATTTTGTCACCTGATTGAAGTCTGGTAAGCTGGGTCATACTGCAATTCTAGTCCCTTCTCTAAGGACACTTACTTCTGTATCCCTGCCATTTTATTCAAGCCTGTGACATTAGGTCCCTCTTAGCTATAGCGAATTATAAAGGTGTGATTCAGACCTAACAAAACCACCCCATGTGTTCCCCTGGCACAGTACTGGTCCAAATCAACTTGAGTTAATTTAAGTATCTCTCCTCCTGGGCAGGATGAGCAGCTGTTTGTGTCAAATCTCTGAATTGTGCTGCTAACATGAGTATAAAAGAAATCTAATGGAAATTGAATTTTTAGACAACTGATGACTTTATTCACCTACTGGAAGCTCCTTCCATCAGCTTTACATCTTCAAAAATAAACTAACAAACTTAAGAGCCACTCCATCTGACTCCATTAACACTGTAGGAGTAATCGCATTTGGTCTGACGCCACCATGGATGACATTACAATTACTAGAGTTCTCAGTTCCGTGGGTAAAGGGACCAGAGTCGATCTCCAGGACCCTCATGGTAGAAAGAACCAAGCTCAGGTTGCCCCCTGGCTTACTCACACACACACACACACACAGAGAGAAAGAGAGAGAAAGAGAGAGAGAGAGGTGGGGGGGATAAGAGTGGAAATAGCTTGGCAACTCTTGACTAAAGACAATTGGACAATGGCTGCTGCCCACCATTCTTTTCCTATGTAACTTTCACTGAAATGTGTTTGCCTGGAAATAAAATCCCCACGAATACCAGGGGCAAGGGCTGTTTGTGGGGACTGGACAAGTGCAGGCCAAGCTGCTTTCCTTAGTTTGCTCACCTGGCTCCACTGGTTTTGTCTCATCAGGATAAAAAAGAAAACACTTTTGCACCTTCAGCTGCTGGCTCAGGCCGACTACAGACTCAGCGACGTGATGCGGGAATCACTCCTAGAAGACCAGCTTGCCCCTGTCCTCACAGAACCCCACCTCCTGGCCCTGGACCGTAGACTCCACATCATCCTTAAGACAGTAGAGGACTGCATAGAGGCCCACGGGGAAAGGAGAGTCATAGCCGATGGCCCAGCCCAACAGTTGGCTCCAGACTCCGGCCAGGCAAATCTGACAAGCTAATGGCTAGCTACAAGGATAAAACCTCAGAACACACGATTGGAACCAGCTGTGGGTGCTGGTGTGTAGGCTCCCGCTGCCTCATTCCACCCTGGGGTGCTGGAGGCCAAGTCATGCGCTCAGGGAGGAGGCAGGAAAGCTTTGAAAGAATAAGTGGGATCCACCAAGCCTTATCTTTACCCGTGGACGGAGGTCACTGCTTTTATAGTGCACTGGCTGGGGCTCTGTCTTCCTAGCAAGCTCTGGCTCCGCCATGGTTGCAGACTGTCTCCTGAGCACACTGTGAAACCTGGAATTGGGCCAAGCTTGGAAGGTGTGGAGGCCCTGTTCCCAGAAAGTTTTTACTCTACCATGTCAAATAAAGGGACATCATGTGGACAACTGGCTTCCTCCAAGTCCTTACTGTATATGCAGGTACAGTATATTGTCTGGCCCCCATTTAAAAGCAGACAAACAAACCAAAAAAAAAAAAAAAAACACTCATCTCCCAAACAGACCTAAAATCTATAAATCTCAAATTGATGCCTAAATAAATGACCTTTCCACTGACATTCCAATCCCTAACGCTATTTGAATACAATAATTGCCACCAACTCACTCTCCAGTAACTTCTTGGAAATACTAACTAAAGGCAAATCTGCTCAGAAAGGGGCACTTCAGTGTGAAGAGTAATATCAACTGAGGAGCTGTGTGGCTCACAATTGGTTGGGTGCTTGCCTAGCAGATGCAGAGCCCTGGGTTCAAACCCCAGCACCACATAAAACCAGGCATGCTGGCAATGCTTGCAATGCCAGCACTCAGAGGGGCCAGAAATTCAAAGCCTCCCCAGCTACACAGCAGGTCAAGGCTAGCCTGGGCTGCATGAGGAAGTAACACTATGTAAATCAAAACTAACGGACACGGGAAACTGGCAGCAAGTTAGGATTGCATGGGTGAAGAATCAAGTAAAAATAAATGGCTTCAGCAGATCACTTTATTTCCTGATAAAAGCCAGAGGATCAAAAATTATGAGAAGCTGGGCATCAGTGGCTCACGTCTTTAATCCCAGTACTCGGAAAGCAGAGGCAGGCAGATCTCTCTGAGTTTGTGGCCAGCTTGGTCTACAGAGCAAGTTCCAGGACAGGCTCCAAAATAATACAGAGAAACCCTGCCTCGAAAAAACAAAAACAAAAGTATGAGCAAAGAGAAAAGGCACCACAAAGTCACGAGTCAGAAATGTCACCACAGACTTCCTTCCGCACATATCCAAAGACAGACAGGACAAACAACAGTGGTACCGTTTTTCATCATCTGACTTGAGGGCTCATGTAGTCCAGGCTAGCCTGAAACTCCCAAGCACCTGGATTACAGGCATGAGTCACCATGCTTGTCTTGCAATGGATGGTTTGGATTCATTCTAGCACCTCACCATCCCTGAACCCAGTTTGCTCAATAACCTTGCTTCTATTCACCCTAAAGCCTTGCCATGCCCCACTTCACCAGCCTGAAAGTCGACACACAGGTTTGCAACCTCCTGAACACACATAACCCCTACCTCCAATGGGCAAGAAGAGAACTAAGGCTCTCAAAATATTAAAATCTTATCATTTTGTGGTGTATACCTATTCCACAGTGAAGTCTGTGAAAGTTAAATCTGTTAGCAGTAAGGACTCAAGCCAGCAAATCTCAGCTCTTCAGGGACTGAGACAAAAGTGTAAAGTTGAAAGCTGGTCTGGGCTACAGAATGAAAAGAAAGGGCAAAAGTCAGCTCTTTAAAAGAGCAACCTTAGTGCCAAAGACTCTCCCATCCAGGTGGCCCTTTCATGAGGTACAGCTTTTTTTTTTTTTTTTTTTAATGTATTTATTTATTATGTATACAGTACTCTGCTTGCATGTAGGCCTGCAGGCCAGAAGAGGGCACCAGATCTCATTACAGATGATTGTGAACCACCATGTGGTTGCTGGGAATTGAACTCAAAACCTTTAGAAAGGCAGCCAGGGCTCTTAACCACTGGGCCATCTCTCCAGCCCTGGGGCACAGCTTCTTACAGCTGTTTCTCCTATTCTCCCCTGTGCAGGAAGCACTAGGAAGCTACTGAAGAATGGGGGTGGGGGGAATCCTATATTGAAAAAAAGGTTTGAGACTTTCAACCAGTCGAGTGAGCTGTAGTCCTCCCCCCTCATCCCAGTTTCCCTTGATGCAGACCAGTTTCTGAAGATTCTAGAATAAAATTTCTAATATAGTTTTCAAAACCAAAGTAAGTGAATTTGATGATATGCTGAATAATGTTGGAATAACTACATAGACTTTACTTTTAAAATTCTAACCAAAAAAAAAAAAAAAACTAAGACCAGCATTTTTCAAAAATACCAAAAACCAAAATCATTCCATTCTCAAGAGGTATCAAGTTCTCAAGGCTTGCTGCTCACGCTGGTTCCTTGCTCAACTTCCCGTGAAAAAGTATTCTGAGTCTATGTGGAAACTTTCCATGTTACCACTGACAAGCACTGTGTGGACTGGTGGGAACCAGTTTGGAGGGGTATGTATGCCACAGCATCCTCACATGCAGGACAACTGAGACTAAGGATGAAGTAAAACTCTCACATATGCAGTAATTCTGATCTTTAAACCCCTGGATGCTCAACTGGCAGATAATCATTGCCCCTACGAGAAATACCGAGCCAGGCTCCCAGGAGTCTCTAGAGCAATCGCGCCAGCCTGGTACGGTGCGGTGAAGATGCATCGTGTTATAGTTATATAGGCACTACCGCATCTGCCTACATCATACACTTTCACAGTAAGAAACAAGTTTCTCACACTCAGGAACATGAGCCAGTCCATGAGCACTATCCTTAGGGACCTTTTAAATATTGAGTGAACCCACCAACTTGAATGAAAACACACCCAAAGTGTGGTGCTATGAGCCCCCCACCCCACCCCCAAAAAATGACACATTCACAACTGAAAGCTAAAATGAGGCTACAGACCTCTTTGAGCATCGGGTGGGGAGGAGTGCATGGCGAATCAAGGCTTCACCAGCTGCGAGGAGCGCTGCATTCTCGGAGTCACACTTAAACTGTACCAAGTAGGAAAACTTGAAAATACAGAAGCCACAGACTAAGGAAGGGCTGCAACTCATTTGGGGTTGACAAACCTGAGACTAAAGAAAAAGCTCTCCACCTAGTGGCAACTTTTTAAAATCACAAAGCTACTTAAACTAGTTCTTAAAATGAAACAAACTAAAAATGACACCCATGGATGGCTTCAGTTACTTAAAGGGGTCACAACGAAGTCACAGCTCTAATGTTATGTCATGAAACAAATCTTAGCTGTGTATGTACACAAAAATGAGGATTCCTATGAAAAGATCCCAAAATGTAACAAGGGAGAGATTTGTGGTTCCCCTTGACAGACATTAGCCACTATTCTAACCCTAGTTTTGATCGACCTGAGAACACACTGCCAGGGCTTGGCTAAATATCACAAAGGATCCAACCACTTTATGGTTGGTGGTAAGTGATAAAACATAATGAAACGAAACAAAACACCACTGCCACTATGCTACTTCAGTATTAAAACGTCAACACAACAGTGAAATGCCAGGTTTTAAAGGACAGACTAGACTATGCTAAAGACAACAGACCCTGACTTTCTTCAGTAGGGGCCATCCAGTCGGTGGGAGGAAAGAATTCTGAACCTGTCCACGGTATGCCTTACAAAGCGAAACTCCAGCTACTAATGCTGGCTTCCCCGCACGTGAAGACCCCAGTTATCAATACACTGAGTAACTCATTAGCTCACTCCTCAAACTTGAGGAGTAAACATCGGAAACAAGGCTCGATATGTGCAAGATAAACACTTCTCTAGCTAAGGGAAGATCTTATAAACCACACTCCTCTGATGCAAAAATCAAGCTTCCCAAGAAGTGTGTAAAATCACAAGGAGCACAGGTCTGTCCTGTGAAAAAGAAGCCATGGCTTTGGACAGTCTTCCTTCCACGACTTGTTGGTCAACCTGTCACACACCCATGAACATTTTAACAAGGTTTTGAGATCCACCCTCTGGCAAACTGAACTGGGATATATTAAAAATAAATACATACAGTACTTTACATTAATCCAAAATTCACGTTCACTCTTGCCCACTGAACTTTTGGGGAGGGACAGGGGAAGAGAAGGAGAAAAGGAAGAAAAACTGATTCATTTAAGAATTTAAATTATTTAATCTTTTTTATTCTGTGACCTACCATTGAGACAGTCTGTAACAAAAGAACAGCGTATATTAGATTAGCACACAGTATATCAAACTAATATCCAGGAAACAGCAACTGTCCCTTTGGCCATCTTCACTTTCTCAGTAGATCTGAATTCATCCACCCATCCAGAGATGATGGTACCTGGAGTCCACAAAGACAGTATGCCAACCATAACTTCTGACTGATATTTAAACTGCACAAAGATAAAGCTTTAAATGTGGTAATTTTTAAATTTAGACTTATCTTGAGAAGTCTAAGAGTAAAAACTACAAAAGGGAGTAACCAGCAAGCTAGCACTGTGTAGAGCTCTCTGGAAAGCAGGGTGTATCTCTGTATACAACAAAGGGATATATACAGACAAAAATGCATCTTGTGGCATTCTACATCATTCATGTAAGTACATTTTTGGCATTTAAACAAATATCAAATTAAGCTTTAATCTAGTAACATAATTTTATTTTTTAAATATAAAAAAGATAGCCAAACACAAAGTACAGAAAACCCTCATTCAATATAGATTATGGAAGTTTTAGAAATAGCAACAAGGTAGCTTTCTACCGCACACTAAAACCTAAATGAAACTTCTTTCCCAAGTTAGTAACAACCTAAAAGCATTTCAACCTATCAAGAAAAAAAAAATCTGCCATGACCAATTTAAGTTAACTAGGAAAGCACAGAAGGGGATTATTAATCAGAACCACTTGCACACATGGAAAATGCTTGCAGTCACTCCCAAATAGAACCTGACATTGTACATAAATCACAACATGCCTAGTTAGGAACTGTGAAATTTCATTTAAAAAATAACAGTAATAAAAATAAACTGTTGGGTTGTCATTGGAATAGTAACACAAAAGGCTGGAAAATACTGAAATACAGTTAAGACTCAAACACAAGTTTACTTAAGAAAAAGAAAATAACACACACACACAAACAGAAATCAATAAAGTTTACCAGAGAAATTCAAGGTTAGACAGGAAAAGGCAGGACTTTCAGCAGGATGGCCTTTCAGACCACAACGCAGCCACATCCTACCCACCCTCGTTCACATAAACCGAGGAGAGACTAACTCAAGGACAAAGCTTCCGGTCTCTGGAGCCCAGACCCATCCACTTTCAGCAACACAGCCTCCATTTCTTTCTTTGGGGCTTGTCCTGTCTCTGTCCATTCTCCATAAATCCAATCTCCTAGAATCAGTAACCGTGGGAAGATCACACTAGTTAACAAAGAATGCAGACCTCAAGTTCTCGCTCACAGTTCTGCATCTCATGATCAGTATTTGGCACCAGCTGGATAAGTAGTTATCATTAGAACCTGTGAGCTGAGACAGATGTAATTAAGTCACCACCCAGTACTGGCCATCGACAATTTGATTTCAAACTTAAAAGGCGGGTATAGACAGCCACACCAAAATAGTTCAGGGTTGCAGAAGAAACACTAGCAATACACAAACAAAACCAGGCTGAGGGGGCTGAACTAGTTGTATCTGTCTGGTTATTAGCAAAACATGGGCACTCCCACACTTAAACTAGTTGAATTACAAGCAGATGTCTTTCTACTGTACTAGGATTTTTCTATATCCATTCTTCTAATCCTTAAAAGTTAAATCATTTATTCTATAAAGAAATACAGCAAACATGGCCACAGTCTAAATATGTCACTTGTGTCATATGGAAATGGAAATCTGTGTCACTTAAAGACCCCTACGCTGTTATAACATCATTACGGTAATTCACTGGTGCAGGACCGCCCTCACCAAAAAGCATGGCACTCACTCGCTGCCCAGGTTGAACACTAGCCCTGCATAGAGAGAGGCGGTAACAGCCAGGTCCATGGAACTCTCTATTTATTTGTGTATGAGCATTCAGTCAATGCTCCAAATGAAAAAAATGGTGCAATAAAGCAACTTTTAGTATAAAGAGACAAGAAGCTGTGAAGCCAGTGGCCACTTGGCGCTGCAGATAGGGAGAGAGCAGTCTGCATGAATGAAGCATGGACTGGGGAGAAGAGAGGCACAGTAGGCAGGTCTCAGACAGACAGTGACACAAAGCTGTTGTACTGCTGGATGTTTCGCTTGAGGATATCTGAGCAAGGGCCAAGGACACGTTCAAACCGGGGTCGGTCCAGCTTAACACACTTCAAAGGGCCACGCGCAACCACTGTGGCGGCCCGAGGACGATTCATCAGCAGGGCAATTTCACCTGGGAAAGAGAAGAGCAAAGAGTAAGAGCAGACTAACAACTAACATCTATGTAAGCCACTTCCTTAAAGGGTCCACTTCTGAGAGAGACGACCAGGACTTACTTTTCTACTAACTCAGTAGAGGCTACACGACAACTGCACCTTAAAAACTACTGCAAACTAATGAAGTCCTACAGTCAGTCAGTCATGCCTACAATCCAACACTCAAGGGGTGGAGGCAGACAGAAAGGTGACTGAAGTAGTTAGAAAGTTGGCCTCACTATACAATCAATTCCAGGTAGTCGAGGCTACATAAGACAGCTGTGTGTTTATGTGTCCCCATGTCCATCTATTAACTGAGCAAAGTTACAGTATTGCTCTGAGAGTATAGGTTAAGAAATCTAACAGGCATCATGACTATAATCCCAACACTTAGGAGGCTAAGGCAGCAGATCTGAAGAGGGCCACCTGCACTGTTATCTGAGGCTCTATCTCAAAAACAAAAAAAAGACAGAGCATGGAAGTGCATACATTTAATCCCATGGGGTAGCCTGGTCTACAGGGTGAAATTACAGGCCAGATTCTACCTTAAAAATAAGTAAATAAATGAAAACAAAATTCAGAAGACAAATTATGGAAAACTATACTAAGAGATACTTAAATCGCGTATTTCTTGTCAAGGAATCCAACATACCAAAATAATCAGAAGGCCCCAGCCGTCCCACTTCAACAAACTCTTCGTTTTCTGACCGACGCTGCAACACAGCAGCTGTGCCCTGGAAGAACATCAGCATGAAGCCAAACGGATGCTTCCTCACCCAGACAGAGACCAAAAGACCCCATATAACCTCAGCTACCCTACAAAGGCTAGGGAAGGACTCAGCAGTTACTTCAACTTGTCTATGCGCTTATGTTCAAAGATGAGAGGTCCTGTCAACCCCCCCAAACCCTCCCACTCCACCCCCACATTCCCTGTGACTTCCATTTAACCTGCATCCCACTACTCAGGTTCTCATCAAGCTCAAGCATTTAAAACAGAGTATAGAGTCCAGTTAGAAAACGTTATGTAAAGTCCAAGCTTGGTGTGTCTTTCCTTTCTAAAACAAAATGTTAGTAAGACTGTCACTCTCAAGAGTTCACATTTCTATGGCTGTATTTGCAGTGTGACAGGAGTTCAGTGTCTGAAGATGCTATTTGGACCTGCGTAGCAAACAGGACTATACGTAGATGTTTGAGATAACACAGTCACTTTTAGAATTGTAAATCATCACCCAACAGCCTAAGCACTCACATTTCAACAGCAATGGTTCAGAATCGTATTACAGTTGAGGGGCTTTTAGCATGGTAATGTCACCAATCATGTATAGGGCCTTTCCAGAATTCTGACTCAAGTTCTTTTAAAGCTGTAGCAGCCTACACACAAAGCTGCATTCTGAAGTAAAAGACAATTTTTAAATAAAACTGTTAGGTAGCCCTAAAACTAAAGCCACAAATCAGATCGACTGCACCCCTCTAGGTGAACAACTCACAAAGGAGTCAAATGCAGAACTCTGTACCTCCAAAATAATGAAGAACTCGTCCCCTGGTTCTCCTTGCACCACGATCTTCTGTCCATCTTCAAACTGGACAGGCTCCAACGCATCAGCCACTGTGAGACGCTCCCACTTGTCCAGAGACTCTGAAAGATAAGAATCCAGAGGCTTTTTCTCTATGGATTTGGTATTGCTGAAAAATAATAAAATGTAAGCAAAATCAAACTACAGATAGACAACCATCAGCATCCCCACACAACATCCCAACAGGATTGTTCCAGGTACATGGCACAGCACCTGTCCTCAGTCACTGCCAGCCTCAGCAGGACTTGCCTATGACAGCAGATAGTCCCCAGAGCCTTCCTTTAACTCTGGTTAGCACATATCAACTGCATCCCATGGCAAAGAAAATGCAATTCTGAACATTAGCATCAAGTAAAGCAAACCAAAGTAATAGCTTCCCCTCACACCAGTCCAAAGGTCCTCCATTTAACCCCTCAACTCAATTTACCTTGGAATAACAAGGAGCTAGAAAGTAATTTTCGTTCCCACAGACCCAACTAATGTTCAGAACACTAACATAAAGGACAAGTAAGGCAAGAAAGTCCAATCACTGTAACAAAACAACAGCAGATTGTCATGTGGGAAAAAATGACTACTCATACCCACACAGGACAGGTTTTAACATCTCCCAATCTATGTCAGGAAATCTACAGAAGTATGTCCATTTAGCCTGCTCATTTTAAATTTCAACAAGTCTGGATCTTTTTAAAATAAGCCAACAAAGACATCTAACTTTTTCTCAGACACAACCCATGTGTGCAACCATCAGGACAGAAGCTGCAGCAGGGCTAATTGTACCATCCCCGGCATGCTCAGGACACTGAGAGAGAGAGCATCCTGCTCCTTCTAAGAGGAGCAAGCAGCAGCTACACTGCCAGAAGGCTTTTCCCAAGGCTAATTACAGGGCCTGTCATGTATTAGCAAATTGAACGAATACATGTTACAATTACTACAAACTTTGCCAAACTTTTAACACTGTCAAAATTTTGTATGACCATAACTGGCAAAAACAAGCATGAAAACAGAAATAAATGAGCCAGGAGACTTATGTCATGTGAAAAGCTGTGCCAAGTATCACAAATGGTCCAATTTATCAGTTCTTCATACAATTTTCCAACTCACCTAAAATAGACACTTTACTAAGGAATTCTTCATACATCTTCCTCTTTCTCAGAGTGCTTCCCTATTAAAAAGAAGAGATATAATTATCACACAATGCTACAGAATAATTTACACTTTAAACTAAAAAGAAGTAAATACAAAGCCTCCTGCTGTTGCCTGACTCTCAACCATTTTTCTTTGTACTAAATGTGAGCTACGGGCACAAAGCTCTTTGTTAGGGTCCTAAAGAGCAGGTGTGCAACCCAAGGGAGGACACGTTCCAACAAGTAGTGAAATGCCAAGCAGCTCTCTAAAAAGCAACTAAGCAGCTAATAATGCATGAGCATGAGACTTCAATGTAGCTGACTATCTACTTCCCCACAGGCTGTGGGCAGGGAACAGACTATTGTCAGAGTGAGAAAGACAGGCCCACAGTCCTAACTAGGCTTGTAGAGTCACACCATCCTCAACACTCTAGATCTCATCTAAGACAAAGTTTACTTGGTGTATTTGGAAGAAATACAAGAGTATCTTATGTGCTTTCTGACAAACTTTTCAAACAAGGTAAAATGACCCCAGTACTACCACATTTCCCTGTGTAAGTGTTTATGTACACATGTGCATATTACACACACCATCTGCCCTACATAGCCACAGGTGCCACATCTGCAGTCAATTACAGACATAAATAATAAGGGGGTGTGTGTTACATACTTGGTCAACATTCAGACTTTCTTCCTGTTTCCCACAGAGTGTATCTACAATCTATGAAACAATGTTCACTGTGCTTTCAATATCAAAGCTCAGCTAGTGATGGCTTAGAGTACACAGAGTATGTACACAGGTCATTTTAGATAAGGGACTTGAACATTCACGAATTTTGGTGCATACAGAATAGAAAACCAGAAAAACAAACAAACAAACAAACAAAACCCTGCAGCTAAGGAGCCAATGAAAACAGTCAGTAGCCAAGGGAGGAAGAGTCCTTTTTCCTTAGGGGTGTGGCTGCTGGACGGCTGCCCATGCACCACTATAAATTCAAACAGCAGTAAGGAGACTCAGTGGGATATATATACATATGAACACATATGGTTCACAGAGGTGGGAGAGGGACAAGATTCCCTCTGTCGCAGGTCCAGGGGTATGAAATTGTCAAAAAATAAGTAAAAATATTATTTTAGACAAAAAAGAAGTCCACAAAAACTTCAAAGCATTAAGATAGCCTTTTTTTTTTTAAATTATGTGTATGTTGGAGTATGGGTTTGTACACATTCGTGCAGTGCCTATGTAGTGTAGAGGAAGGCATCAGATCCCCTGGAGCTGGAGTTACAGCTGGTGGTGACCTGGCTGGTGTATGAAACCAAACTTGGGCCTGCTGCAAAAACAGTACACACTCTCATTCATCTCTGCAGCCTGAGGCTATGCATCTTCAAACAGGACACCAGGACACCAGGAAAACTTAAGCAAACCATTTAGGATGGCTAGGACTATTCACTGGGACTTAAAACACCTAGAGCTCCTCTGTAAGATTACCACAAATTTCTCAAGGAGTCCCACTGTGAGCAGAAGGACTCCATGGTCTTATTGCTTGGGTAATTCCTCTAAAAAGGCAGTATGAGTTTATTACAGATAACCCCATTTTGGTTGACAGAAGGTGATTACTTCTGGATGGCTTTAAATGACTCTATACACGTAAAACCAGTCCTGTGGGCAATCTACTAAGATTAAGTAAGATTCACCCACTAGCAGACTATTAGGACAAGCTGACTGCTATCTACACACATTTCTCTGGTTACTCCTGACCTAACTTGTGTTTTACTAACCCTGTCTCAAGCGATACATTAACCCAAACCTAATGCAAACTAGTCAATCATTAAAAGCTAAAACCCACAGCCTATTAATTACCATGAGGATTCTTCGGTAGCTGTCTCGGTCAATGCCCCACAGCTTCACATTGGTCTTCGCTTTGACAGTGGCTGCTCTGGGTGTTCCATAAATCAGAGCCAGTTCTCCAAAACTCCCTCCTTCCCCAACACTGGTTGCCCATTCATTATTGACGTAAACCTAAAATAAAAATGACATCAAAAAAGTGGGTTTTTTTCTATCTACATATGCAACTGCTAATTCTCAGACTTTCCAAAGGAAGAATTCTGAACCTGTTTTAGCATATACACAACATCTACAGGAGAGCAGAACAAACCACTGAGAGCTGACAAGTGAAATGATCTGATAACGGTGCCCTAGCGGGATGCCAAGAACACACATTCAGACAAGCACTAATGTCAAATGGCACACATTTACAGAATGCTGTGCTGGGCGCTTTATGTGCCACTAAATAATCCTGAGACTGAGGTGATTTTTATCCTCATTTCCCTGGTTTAAAAAAAAAAAAAAAAAAACAGAAATTTTAAAAGCTGTACTATTCTACAGTGGAGCTCTGAGTTCTCTTACACCATAGGATACATGCATTTTCCAACTGCTACCCCAGTGAGAATAGTGAACAGTATGTATAGATAGGGTAGCTACCTTTAAAAAGTTTATGTCATAAAAACACTTGGCAAATGTTAAGGGAATTGACTTATATAGGCTATCATCATCTGCCCTTATAAACACAATGCTTACTGCTTAGAAATTAAGTTCAAAATCAAGATTATCAACACTTTTTTTGGTATTATTAAATCTTACATCCATTTCTCCTTGATCAATCACGTAGAAGTTATCCCCTTCATCACCTGGAAGACAGTAAAAAGTCAGATCATTAACAAAACAATCAAACTAACATAAAATAGTAAATTTATGGGTGGATGCTAAATGACTAAACTCAAGAGAAAAATGAGCAAGGTTTTTTCAAAAGACTGAGATGACATTAACCATTCCTTCCGGTCATCTCACAATATCTTTTAAAACTGTACTTAATAAAGCCATGAGACCTATGAGACCTCACTGTGCAAAGGCACCTACTGCCAAGGCTGACAAGCTGAGGAAGGAGAAACCAATCCCTGCAAGATGTCTTCAGAATTCCACTAACCAGTGCTGCAGCTCACACGCACGTGTGCACACACAGACACAAAATCAATCAATCAAATGTATTTTTAAAAATGTTGGGTCACTTACGTATAGAAAGTTAACTTCTATGGAATGTACAAACACAACAAAGAACTCAACCGTTAGTAACAGTTAGTAAAAGGGTATGTTGCCACAAAATGGGGAAATACTTGGCTTATGAAGATTCATGTTAGTCTACATGGGCAAAATGGTTAAGATTCTGTATGAGGTATAGAACAATATAACAGATGGGTTGGTTATCTGATACAGAATGTCAGTGGTTTTGCTTATTTATTTGATCTTAAAATCAATAAAAAGGACATGTGACTTAATGTTCTGAAATTCTATATAATATCCAATGACAACATAAGCATTCCCTTTAACGGTGAAGTAACCAAAAATACTAATCCCATAGAGAAAGTGGTACTTTTAATAACTTAGAGAACTGTTTAATAAAGAAGAAAATACTAAGGCCCACAGACTCCAACAAAATAAAATAAAATAAAACACCCTCATTTCACCTCCTTTCCTGTAACCACAATGCATGTGGCAGCCCTTACCTTGCTGTATAACTGTCTCTCCAGCAATAAAGGAGACTGGGAACATGGCATCAAAAATGTCACTGCAGGACAGAAGAGGCCTGGGTTAGACTTCGCAGATCTCTTCTACACATTTCACACACTTAGTATTAAAGCTCTCAGGTGCTCAGTTCTGTCACTTGGTACACAACTAAGAGCCTAGAACTTGCAATAGTGACAAAAGTTTGGTACCACCACCCCACTGGGCAAAGTGTAAAGAGTGCCTGCACCTACCTTCTCTCATTATCATCAAGGTGTGAAAACAGCACATTTTTTTCGATGGCTTTGGCTAAAGCAGCCATTGTCTTATAATCTTTGGGTATAACCTAGAAAAATATTAAAGGCCAAATGACAACCTAGAAACCAAAGACATTTATTTCATGTTTGCATCTTGCATTTCAGTTAAATGCCATGCCACATAATGCTATTTAAACAAGGCTATTTTGAGTTAAATATTTTCACTAAAACACCTGTATGATTCACAAAGTCCTCAACAAATACTGGTTAATCCCCTTGCCTAGAGCCAGGCTTATAGTTAAAGGTCAGTACTTGAGTTCAAGTTAACAAGTAAACCGAAAAGACCTAGACCAAGATCATCACTCTGAGGCAAATCTAAGCATTTTATAACAAATAGTCATTTTGCAAACTGTGACCATACAGTATTGTTCGGTTCATAAGCATCAAGTGCCTTGGGCCTATTTCCCCCAAAGGTTAAAACCTAATTCAATGTTGGCAGGCTCTGAGGAAGACTGGACCAGGTTGAATGCAACTTGTAGGGTAATAGGTTAAAAGCCAAGCCAGGTGGCTCATGTTTAATCCCAGCCAGTGGGAGGCAGAGGCAGGTGGATCTTTGTGAGTCTGAGGCCAGCCTGATCTACAGAGAGTGTTCCAACATGGCCAGGGCTATATAGAGAAGCCCTATCTTGAAAAATTAAAAAAAAAAAAAAAAGGTTAAAAGCCAAAACATGAATTACATGGTGCCAATGACAGCCTGAACTAAGAGAAAAAGGAATACTGCCTGCTTCTGCTGCTGCTGCTGCAAAAGAGCATGCAAATCAGCAAGGCCTAAATGCAACCACTCACTGGTTTATAATTACTACTTTCTCGAGGAGCTATTACGTCAGTTCTCAACACTAACAACTGTGCCTTTGTCTGTCTTTGAAACAGAACACGTACTCATCAAAGGAATACAGCTGAGTACAAGGTAGGCCTCAGAAACAGTTCCCAAACTTGGACATCCAAACTACCTTTCTAACATAGGATGCAGCATCTTCCTCTGTGTAAACTTCAGCACTGATTGCCCCACGGCGCCGACGGCCCTTCACCACGGGATTGGGGGGAGGAGGAGAGATCTCGTCCTCCCTGGAGTCGGTACGAGTGCTGCTTTTCTGTAGAGTCTGGATCTGTTTTGCCTCCTCCTGAAAGAAAGTTGTTTTTCAGAATCTGAAAGCCGGTACTCTCAAAGCCCAGTGACAGCTCACTTCAACCCTGTTCCAACACCAACATAAGGAGAACAAATCAATTCCAAACTGGGGGAGAAGAGGAAAACACAACAGGATAAAATCTAGAAAATTCACTCCAGCGGTTACTCAGGCACAGCACACTTTATTAGTGGCAATGCCATCTGGCTTCTTGAGCCAAGTCACATGAAAAGTGACATCAAAGATTTCTTACCTACTCTACCTCTCACTAAAAAAGTTCCTAGGCCTGAAGGGAATAAAATAAGAATGTCATCTTCTATTTTTTTCACTTATTTCATCCATTCTTTGACTCTTCAAAACATCTTTCAAATTCAAATTAACTCAGCAGTATGCAAACTATTAAAAATAAAAGTGACAAAAAAAATAATCATTTCTTCTTATCGCCTACATAGTGTAGTCCTGCCTCTGGCAAAAACATCAATTCAGGGACTCTGTACATCTCAAAAGTAGGCAAGTATGACTACCAAGGAGCTAACACAATTTCTATCAGTGTAATCATGAAGGACTTCTAGTTCTTCAGAGCAAAGTTATCAAGGGGTAAAGGGGTAGGGAGGGTGGGGGTGTGGACAATGAGAAAAACAAAACTCACTACATTATCTACGTGTATTTAACTGTAAGCACACTTACTCCTTAATTTAGTCTAGTAACCCTGCCTCTGGAAGTCTTAAACAAGCTTAGGTGTGAAATGGCATCTATACAGCAACATTTCTTCTTAGTTTTCTGTTTGTTTGTTTGTTTGTTTCAAAATAAAATATCGGAAACAAAATGAAGATCAGTGGCAATGGTTACACTGTACTCCTACAATAGACCATCACCCCTGTGTTAGCCAGTGAGTCAGCTCTGGCAGTAAAGAGCTTGAGCAAACTTGAGGACCTGAGCTCCACCCTCCAAAGCACTTCAAAATAAACTTGTAACCCCAGCACTGGTGAGGCAACAGTACCAGCTCACTGAAGATCCAGGCCAAGGTGAGACCTGTCTCAAAAATACAAGGCGATGGCTACTAAGGAATGGACCCAAAGGTTGTCTTCAGTCCTCCACACACTTACCTACATGAACACATATAAACACATACACACAAGGAAAAAAGAATAAAACTCTTTTTTAAAGATGGATGTATCTATAAATGCCCACAGATTAATTACCTCCAGAACAGGGCCGTATGCAGGTGGAGACCTTCCACCATAAGCCCTTTCATAATGGCACAATTTCAGTCTATGACTCATTTAAAACTTCATATGTTTTAGAAAATTCACTCAGTTCATTCAGGTAGTCATAGTAACTGGTAAGACCCTTCTATTTTATATTAACACAGAATTATAAAACTCACCTAAGTTCAAAGTGCAAAAGCATTTAAAAAAAAAATTCTAACCCTCAAACTAGTCATTGTTATTTCAGAAATTTTCATTTAAAAACTCAAAAATGAGGGGCTCGGGAGATAGCTCAGTTGCATGAGGACCTGAGTTCAGATCCCCAAAACCCAAGTAAAAGCTGAATGTAGATACACACATCTTAGCAGACAGGCAGTCACCTTAGTATTCGGATCAGCCTGTCTAGCCAGCTAACCAATGAGTGAACTCCAATGAGAGATCCTGCTTCAAAAGACACAGAGCACCTAATATCAACCTCTGACCTCTACATGCATGCATATTCATGTGCACCCACTAACATACATATGTAGTGCACCCACTACATATACAAACACTATATACTACACACACACACACACACACACACACACACACACACACACACACACCCCTCACAAAAGAAGTTTCATTTGGAACTGTATTCTAGTTAAACAGATTTTAAAGGTAATTCTGAAGTTAACAAAAACATTCTGATTTTAAGTCTTGTGGAGTCCGGTGAATCTATAAAACAGCAATCTGAATATAACCTAATCTCAATGATTCAGAGACATGACTGAAATCACCAACTTCTAAAATATCCGCACTCTGCTATTGTCAGTCAGCTGTGAGTCTCCCTCTTAGCTCTGAATCTATTTTCTGGCTAGTAACATTCCTGACTCTTCTACATATGTTCTGCACTAAACTGAGCTTAAAACTCTGTTTCTTTCCTGCCCTTGTCATCTTTTTCTGTAGACAAGCTTCCCACCACAATGACTTGAGGCTTGGGCCCAGAATGTGAAGTGGACTCGTCATACCAAGCACGCTATTGTGGTCTGCCTCTAGTGGCCTTGGATTTCTGTTCTGTTCAACATGCCCTAGATAATGGCTGTTCTTTCCACTCAGATCCAGAACAAGATACACGAAGTAAAGACAAGATAGGCACATGACCAAGAAATACATATGAAATCCCAGGGTTACATGTTATTGCAGAAAACCTAACTCCTGGGATCACAGTTATGATTTAACTTCCTTTAGATTCAATTGCTGCTTCAGCAAAATGGTATCAATACCCTACCTTCCACATTTAAAGTAATGGGAAAGAAAGAAGGGGGGGGATGGGCAGAGAGGAGGAAAGGGGGAGGGAGAGAAGAGGCAGAGCGAGAGAGAGAGGGAGAGAGGGAGAGAGGGAGAGAGAGAGAGAGAGAGAGAGAGAGAGAGAGAGAGAGAGCTTCACACTGTATTTAGTACACAGGAGACACCCAACAGTGGTAGATACAACTCTTCTTATCAACCAGACAGGCAAGGTACTAGTAAATATAGGCATAAAAAGACTCAAGTTCCAGGCACAATGGTCTCAACTAAAATGCAACTGTCTCCATTGACCAACTCTATTCTTTTTTGTGTATTTCCTCCGAAGTCACTGAAAGTTCCAGAAATATAACCCCTAGTTAATGGGGAAGGAGGTGGTAATAATGTGAGCTTATTTTCAGACATAAAAATTAACACACAAATTATGAAATAATGGCTTTGGTAAAAACCAAGTTAATTAAAAACCCAAGTGGAATATTATATGTATTCAACAAAGAACCTCAACGTATAAGAAAGGCGTTTTATTAACTTTTACTGGGGGGGGGGGGGGGCAGGGAGATCCATACACATTAATTGTAAAATTCCTCCTCCAGAGAAACTACAATAACGATTATGTGTTGCTTTCCACCTTGGCTAGTCCTTAAACACTCCTGTGGTAAATGAAGGCTTTGAAATTGATGTCACACACTCAACACTCCCTATAAAAAGATAGGCACTTAATGTCTCACCAACTTAATCCTCTCATTTGATTTCTACTGATGACCAAAGAAGAGGGATCGCCTTACCGTGACCCATTTCAGACCAGACCTCCAGGAACACACTTGATTTCAAAACAAGAGTACACTCCTGGCCGGTATGTCCATTATTTAGCAACTGCTTAAGTAAGACAAAGCCAGCATTTCTACTACAGATCCAAGGTGGCAAGACTGTATTCAGAGGGACTAATAAACAATTTTCTTTTCTTCCAGTTAGTCTAATCATTCTAATCACCAGCATTTTAAAGATGTCCAAGGAAATAAGTATAAAATATCTGTTCACTGAGCTACTCAAATACCTTTCTAAAATCTTCATATACATAAAATCTTTTTATGTAAACACTGGACAGTAAGAAACTGGCCAAACCAATGTGAATATTGTAGCTACATCTACTGTAAAATTAGGTACTAAACATGTTATCAGAGAAATGAGCCCCAGCAGTTTGAACCTCTTCAAAACTTGAATAAACATACACAGCAAAGTTGTACATTCACCCCCAATGATTTACAGAACAAATCAAATTCACTACTTAACATACTGGGCGAGCCAAACTTTTGCACTCATCACTTCTTGAGAACAGGACACGGAAGCATCACACTGGATGCAAAACTGTAACTCTGTTTAGAAATGCACATCCTGGAGGCTGAAGAGAAGGCACTGGCTGCTCTCTGCAGAGGACTCAGGTTCAGTCCCCAGCACCCACAGAGTGGCTCACAGCCACCCACAGCTCTAGCTCCAAGGGATCTTCCGCACTCTGTGGGTACCAGATGACAATATGGTGTACATACATTCATGCAGGTGAGACACTCATACACATAAGTAAATCTGTGTGTTTGTGGGTCATACTGACCCACACAAAATACAGATGCAACAACATAGAATAAAGATCAAATTGCATATTTTCCGGCAAACAAGTTCTAACGGAAATTATAAATACAGTAAAAAATGCAATGACCATCAATCTCTAATCTTTCCATTATACAGTGAATTCGTCCACCTAACAATAAAACAAGAGTTCAGAACTGATTTTGATTATACCACCCCAAGCTAGATGCAGATGTAAGACTACAGTTTTAAAGATGAGGTAAACTAAAAAGCTCGCCCACTTCCCTGAAGGATAGCTCTAACTTCTTTTAACTATTTCCCAATTCATACACTTGCCATACATTTGACTGACTGTTACAGCCAATTTTAAATACTATTTAAAATAGTCAAAACCAACTGTTTGGAAATCCTTTAATGGCTAAACAAACAGCATCAATTCACTTTCTGATAGATTTGGATTAAAATTACTAAGAAATCCTTCACTGCATGCTAATCTGAATTTCTATTAGATTTCTTATTTGGTCAGAATTCCTTTTCTCCCAATAGGCACAAATCAGCAACCAGCAGAAACATTAACCCTAACAACAACTGACATGGTCATCACAGATCTCCCCTCATTATTTTTACCTTCTCCAGCCTCTCAAAGTATTCCCGAAGGAATGCCATGGGTCTCTCGGGTCGAGCAGTGCACAGCTGCACAATAGAGTCCTTCAGCAGGGCCTGGATGTTGTGCTTCTGGACATAGAGCTCACATTCCCGGAGACTCCGCTCTTCCTCACTGGCGGTAGTACTGCCAGACGCCATGGTTCTCTAGGAGAAAAAGCATGGGCATGCTGGGTCAGCTATTAAGTACAACACAAATTTGGCCTATGACTTATTAAATTCACTAGACAACAGATTCATGTAATTACTTTCCCTACTCAATAGGGTTTATATTAAGAGGAGGTGGGAACTTGGATATAAAATACACACAGAATTTGAATTCTTCAAAATTAAATACTTCATTTAGTTCCTACTCTTCAATCTGAGCTCAGGACCCACAGTCCTGGAAGGAAGCATGAGCCAGTATGCCCTGCTGAGCAAGCAAGGCAAAGCTGAGGACTCGGGCCTTATGGGAATTTCATTCAGTCATCTTGCAAAAGACATCACGGTGATGACGTGGGAAATGTGTAAATGGTAAACAGGACAGAGAATTCCAAGGGCACACAGGTCGGCTCTAAGTGAAAGCACAGGCACAACGAAGAACGCCTGACATCCCCTGTGAGCACTGCCGTCCCATGAGCACAGCTAATGCCACAAAGCAAACCACCAGGGCGGAGGAGCTCATTAGCCAAGTATTAGTGGAATCAAATTTTCTGAAACACAAAAGGAGCCTCAGGTGCCTTTTCTCAGCAGTCTTTCATTCCACTGTCTTTCACTAAACTCCAGCCCTAGATGGAAGGAGTTGAAAAGGTTGTAGTGCAGGAAAATGAACTCTCTTAAGCAAACTAAGGTTTTCTTCATCTGGACAAGAATACGTTTAAAAAGGAATACACTGGTTTAAAGCATACAGGATGACTCAATAGGTAAGACTGCGTTCAAAATAGGTAAGACTGCGTTCAAACTACATTAACGTGAAATAGGAACACAATAATGGGCAGCCAGGCTGCCACACAATTAAAAGCTTGGTATTTTAACAGTCAGTTTCCCTCCCAACTCCAAATTACTAAGCACTTGAGATTAAAAGATGACTCCCTCTCCACTCAGCAAACCAATTCGACACTAACCACTTTTCAATTTATAATGCTCACTGACCCACCAAGTAAAAATGTGACTTTGAAAGAAATGCCAGGATAAAGAACTATTTCAGAGTGCTACATTGTTATCATTTTGTTTTGACGACTTTCAAGATAAAGGTCAATAACGTGCAATTAACAGACCAGGAGAAAGTTCATGGCTCCATGACAAGCACACAAATTAGAAAACCCAAAGAGACAGGAGCACCCGCCGCCCTCCGTTACTTCAGAATAAATTCTAGAGGGAAGAGTTTTACTGTAAGATAACATGTTTTTGACATGCTTCCAGGTCAGACGCCATATGAAACAAAGAATCTACTTCAGTGGAATTTTCTCCACTTCAAATACTGAAGGCCACCAGGAACATGGATAGGACAAATCTTTTATGCTTTCAAGCGTGTCGGCATATGTGTATTTAATTGATCAGAGAAACCAACTCCCAGGTCTGGTCTCTGGCTGGTACGGATGGCTCAACTGGGCCTAATAAGTGGAAAATGGCTTATGCATTACGAGGACCAAAAGGGCAGCACTGGTAAAGACAATACAGAGCCTCCCCCAAATTACTGCAGTCACCATGGGAAGAAACCCCAAATAATCTAATTTTATGGCCTTAACGTTTTTTAATCGGGTATGTCCTCATTCCACATTTGTTGCTTATTTTCCAAAGCCCAACACGACTTAGCCTCCCTCCCAAAACAAACACTTTAATGCCATCACTGACTGCAGTGTCTACTCGTGATCATGAGGGCAGGTTCTTGAGGAAATTCGCTTCTGATGACACTGTCGCTTTCAGAAGGGCTACACTGGAAGACGCACTTAAAAAACGCTTTGAGAGCCCGTTGCTGTCATGGCCCACATCCCCTGAAGGATGATGCCAAGTAACACTAACACGGCCTTGGGGGTTGGGGGGGGGGGCGTCTCCTAGTTCGAGGTTTCTTTTTTTTTTCTTTTCTCTGCTCAGGAAACCTGTCTATTGTAGCTCCCTCGAGCCACCAGCTGTCCCCACGCCCGCACCGAGCTTGGGGGGGGGGGTGTCAACGGGCGTGTTTTCAGGAGCGAGGACAGGAAAGTGCCCTTCACTTCACTCAGGCCTCGGTCATGACCACTGGGTTGCAGAAGGGCGACCCTCATCCCTCATCGGTCGCCAGGCAGGCGGCCCCAGACGCTGAGCGGGCGGGCGGCCTGGGAAAGCTGGGGTGGGCGGTGGGGTGGGGAAGGAGGGGCGGGTGTGTTAATCGGGAAAGGAGGAGAAGCAAGGGAAAAAAAAAAGGGGGGGGGGACAAAGAGAAATGGAGCTGGGTTCTGAAATCACCGAGCGCAGGGGTGGAGGGAGGCGAACCCGCGGAGGGGAGGAGGGGGGGGGGGACCCGCAAGCGTACAAACGACCGGGCGGAGGGGAAGAAGACTAGAGCCGGGTATCACGACCGGACAGGAGAACCATGGCGGATTCCGGTTAAAAACCGAGCTGTTGTCCTTCAGGAAGTGGGGGAGGGAGGACGAGCGCGGCGGCCGCGGCGCGCGGGGGGCGGGGGCGGCGGCGGCGGCCGGGGAGCGGCGGCGGGCCGCGAAGGCCGCGCGGGGCTGGGGACGGTGGGGGGCACGGGCGGCCGGTGCGAGCCGCGAGTGCGAGGCCGGCGCCAGGCGCCGCGGCCGCCCCGGAGGCGCAGGGGGTGCGGCCGTCTCCCCCGCCGCGCGCTCCCCCCCCCGGGGCGCCATCTTGGCTCGCGCCCGCGCCTCCAGGAGCGCGCGGCGGGGCCCCGCGGCCGGCCGGTGGCTCCCGGGGCGGCCCCGCGGATCCGCACTCACCTGCGGACGGGACGGGACGGGCGGCGGGGTTTGCACGGGGCGAGGCTGCCGGGGTACCGGGCGTCCTCACGGTTCGGCTCGCAGCCTCACTCCACTGGGCGATAGCGGCTCCGCGACGGCTCCACCGGAAACGAGCCGACCGCGGCCAATCAGAGCTCGGCTGCTGACGTCAATGCGCCTCGCTCTGGCCAGGGCGGTTGCCTTGGCAACCTTAAAGGGGTCGACGCCTGGGTTCCTCCTTCCCCCACCCACCCACCCACCCACCCTTAGCCCCGTCGCCTTCTGGCTAGAATCGTTCTCTGGCGGCGCGTCTATCCATCTTATCTCGTCGTGTCCGCACAGCCCCTGCCTTGCTCCCACCTTTGGCTGGCCTTCCCGCTAACCTAGTTTCTGTCTCCTTTCTTTCACTTGCCCCATCCTTACCTCTCTCTTAGTGTCTAGATTCTTCTGCCGTTCGGCGTTCTCAGCCTCTCTCCTCCTCGGTTCCTCCCAGGGCTCTCACGTCTGCCTCCCTCCACGCCTCTCCTCTGCCTTTTCTCCCTCCCTTCAACCCCTCCTCCGGCTGACCCACGTGGGACGTTTCGGTGACAGGTGGGCGACTCCGCCCCGGGTCCTGTGGGGCGGGGAAGGGGGGGGAGGATTCAGGACGCCCGGCGGCGGGGAGATTCCTGCTGTTTTCCAGGCCCTACAGGAGGCGGAGGCCCTGGCGGATCTGCCCCAGCTGAGTGAGAGCGGATGCTGGGATGCTCGTGATGGGCAGTCTCCGCATCCTGAGTAGGCCCTGTGATACCCGGGACTCGGCCTGTCATCCGGTCCAAGAAATCTGAGCCCTTATCAAGCCTCTGCTTGACTAATCTGACTGTTGTCGTCAACGGAGGCCCTATGGTGCCTACAGAGGCACAAGACACGGGAAAAGACTCCCAAAGGGAGGCCCGAGTCCTGCTAATGCCCTCCATATTATGCCTGATTGCGTGGTGAGCAGGACAGGCCGGCAGATCACACAAGTCTCAGGGGAAAAAAAAGAGGAATTTTGGAGAAAAGTCGACTCCATTATTCTTTCAGCCAACTTTTCCCCATTAATATCTGAAAATGAAAACAGAGAAGACAACTTTAGACATACGTAAATAAAATGGGCCTAAATAAATACTTAAATAAAATAGGCACTTGCAGTATACAGGCGTTAACAGCCTCATCATGTATGTTCTAGGGTAGTGTGTGTAGAAAACACATGCATTTAACACTTAATACCCAAAAAGGTAATAATTTCTCCTGCATAATTTTCACATTGATCCCAGGTTAAGATAATTGAGCTAAATAGGAATTTTAAATTTCACTCTTTTTTTTTTTTTACTTTTTCGATGTAGCTAGTAGGAACTCTTCGTTGCATTTCATATGTCTCCCATTGTATTTGTGTTATGCAGAGTTGCCTTATGAGCCTGTCTTCAACCTTAGATTTCCCCAGACTGAATATTAGTTATGATTAGCCCCTGGTAGTCAGGGGAAAGAAGGGGAAATAGAAAGAAATGCTCCCTCCGATGAACCCCCACCCCCAGCATGTCGACCATTGGCTTTTTTCCCCCCCAGATGTGAGTAGAATTGAGATTAAAAAACACTCATATAGGATTTCACCCTCTCCAGTACAAAGAAAAAGCTGATAAACTCAATACTAAACTGGCAAACAGGAGAGGAAATTTGATAGCTTTGAGCATGCCTGGTCCTGCTTCGGGGAGTGGTGGGGAGGATACTACAGACAAATCTGAGTTTGGTTTCATGCTCTGCCATCTCCGGTGATAGACTTGGTCTCATTTACCTCCTTCTGCAAAGGATAAATGGGACTGTATTAACACTAACTAATTAGGATAAAAGCAAGCATGTGTATATACAGCACCTATTATAATAGTAAACCGTTCCGGGCGCTTCAGACATAATCACAACCATTCTATGGTGTTCATTTCGAAAAGAACATGCCACGAGAAGTTAAGTGACATACAGCTAGTGTGGCTCAAACCCAGGCAATGAATGTATGTCACCCTCCTTTGCAGCATGCACCACACACACACACACACACACACACTTGCACACACGCACGCATGCACACACACACACACACACACACACACACACACAGTACCCTCATACAATGTAGGAAACATTAAATGAGAGATTGTTTCTTATTTCTCTCACTTCCTAAACTGCAAGGTTAAGTGTGAGTGGCACTGTGTCCAAACATTAGTGTTACCTTCCTAAGGCAGTTAAGCCACTTTAGAAGAAGGAAACAAGCAAGCTGGTGACATTGAGCCTGATGTTTGGAGTGACAGCTGCTTCCTTGCTAAGTCCTGGCTGGATGTCCCCATTCAGCTGCAAGCAGGCATCAGTCAGTCCAGCCACTGCCGTTTCCTGTGTCAGATGCTCTCAACCTTGTTCTAGGCGCCAGATTCTCGTGTTAGGGCTTTGGAAGACAAAAAGGGAAATGGGCAGTGGATAGTTGAGCCCAGGAAGGTTCACTGAGACAGCTGTTAGGAAAACCCAACAGCCTCCAGGCCTTCCAAAGGGCGCAAATGTGCTTGCAATTTCACTGGGCCATGCTGGGAATACCAACTTGTCGATTACGTGGCAGAAATGGCAGTTGTTTGACCGCAGATTCCCCTACTCCAGAGACCCTCTGCCCAAATTCAGAGATCTGTCATTTTTCTTTCAGCGTGTGCCCTTATGTTTACATTTCTAGAACAGTAAGTTTGTACAGTAAAATTTGTTCTTTGAATTCCATAATTGCTATCACAATGTTTGTGGAGTGATAGCAAAATAATTTGACTGGGACATCTAATAAGCAAAAGCAGAAGAAAACTATGGCATAAAGAAGAAATATGGACCCCATGCTCCATGCTGGGTTCCCTTTCCCATCATTGATGCAAGGGGGGAAGAGCTTGGTCCTGCCTCAACTTGATGTGCCATGCTTTGTTGACTCCCATGGGAGGTCTGCTCATTTTTGAATGGAGATAGAGGAGTGGATGGAGGAAGTGGGTAGAAGCAAGGTGTGAGGAGGGAGTGGGATGGGGGGGGGGAGAGTGGTCAGTATGTAAAATAAATGAAACTTTTTTAATTAAAAAAAGATATAAAAAAATAAAAAGGGAACAAAATTTAAAAAAAAAAAAAAAAAAGGAATGTGGGGACCTAGAGAGATGGCTCAGTGGTCAAAATCACTTGCTGCTCTTGCAGAGGTCCTGGGGTCAGTCCTACCACACACATTTCCGCTCACACTCTCCTGTACCTCCAGTTCCAGGGGAATCTAACCCCTCTCCTGGCCTCCTCAGGCAAGAGGGATGTATGGGAGTCCACCAGGCATGCATGGTGTATGCATTCAAACATATAGGTGCCCGAATGTGTACCTACATGAAATAAAAATAAATCTTTTTCTTTTCAGGAATATGGGCTGGGAAGATGGCTGATTCATTGGATAAAGTGCTAGTCCCATAAGAGTGAAGACCAGACAGTTAAGTGCTGGGTTGACTTAATAGTGCAGGCGTAGACTGGTTGGACTAGCTCAATCAGTGAATTCTGTGTTCATGCAAGAGAGCCTCGGTCTATGAGGGAGAGAGGGAGAGAGGGAGAGAGACCGAGGAAGACACCCACACCAGCCACACACTTTTTAAAAAGGAGAACTCTGGTGGTTCATCTCTTAGTGCTTCTTATGCTTAAAGTTTCTCTCGTCTAAACACAGATCCACAGATTTCCAAAGAAAACTTTACAGACTGTTGCCACCTAGCTGGGTATGCACTGGGCTGAGTATCTGTGCTTCCTAAGGGGCCTAAAGTCGTGGCTCCAAATAAGACCCACTCCCAGCACACTTCCAGCCAATGGTTGTTCTATTTTTCTGTTCCCCAGTGGAAAGTAAGCTGAACTAAAGTGGAATGTTTATCTTGTTCATGTACTGAAACACTTTAGAAAGGATTCCGATCTTGGGTCTAATAAATGGGTTCCAAGGAAAACTATCTTTACCCCAAACATATTTTCATCCAAAATAGCATATTGAACTCCACAGTGTTCTGCAACAAGAAGGAATTACTAGCAGGGGTTCACCAGAGAATTAGAACTCATAGGGTATGTGTAACAGAGAGGGGTTTATTTTAAGGAATTGGCTCACACAACTGTGGGAGCTGGCAAGTCTCAAATCCATGGGGCAGGTGCAAGACAGTCCAGCAGACCAGACCCAGGGAAGAGCTGATGCTACAGTCTGAAGTCCCAGGTGCACCTTCTTCATCAGTCTTTTTTTATTATTATTATTATTATTATTATTATTATTATTATTATTATTATTATGGGTTTTTGAGACAGGGTTTTTCTGTATTGCTTTGGAACCTGTCCTGTAACTCCTTCTGTAGACCAGGCTGGTCTTGAACTCACAGAGATCCACCTGCCTCTGCCTCCCAAGTGCTGGGATTAAAGGCATGGGCCACCAATGCCCGGCATTTTATTTTATGTGTGTTGGTGTTTTGCCTGCATGTATGTCTGCATGAGGGATCTAAATTCCCTGGAACTAGAGTTGCAGACAGCTACTGTGAGCTGCCATGTGGGTGGTGGGAATTGAACTCGGGTCCTCTGGAAGAACAGCCAGTGACCTTAAGGACTGAGCCATCTCTCCCACTTCCTCAGGCTTTGAAGACCTTTAACAAAGTAGGTGAGACACTGCCGTGTTATGAGGAAAGGGGATCTGCTGTATGTAATGCCTGTGGTTTGAATGTTTGTAATATCTTTAAAGAAAATTTCACAGCATCATCTACCCTGGTTAATACAAAGTTAACTATCACGACCATGTGTCCAGCAGCCCAGAGCACGGAACTTAGACAGGGGCCATCACTTTCAATGCATCATTCTGCCAAGTACTATGACCGTCACTATAGAGGACAAACACAAAACAAGTCTGCTCCAGGAATTAATGAAGAGAGTAAAAAAATAAAAATTAATAAATGGTAATAAATGCTTACTACAATATTGAGAAAAGGGAAGGCTTATTTACTATTGGTGGAAGTACAAATTGGTAGGGCCACTATGGAAATTAGTGTGGAGGTTCCTCAAAAACAAAAAGGGAAAGGGGGGAGGGAGGAAGGAAGGAGGGGAGGGAGGAAGGAGATACTAGTATATGATCCAGCTATACCAGTCCTGGTCATATGTTCAAATGACCATGTATCATATACTACAGAGATCCTTGCTCATCCAAATTTATTACTATTCTACTCACAATAGTCATAACTGAAACAACCTGATTCTCCACCAACTACAGATAGATAATAAAAATGTGTACATTCACCAAATGGAATCTTAATCATCTATAAAGAAAAATCATGAATTGCAAGTAAATTGATGAAACTAGACATAATCCTTCTGAGTAAGGTATCCCTGATTCAGAAAGACAAATGTCAAATGTTCTCACTCATATGTGGCTACTAACTTTGAACTTTACATATATGTATTTAAAGTAGAGTACACAGAGAAGGTAGGGTACTA